ATATTGCATCTAATTTCTTCTTTACATTACATTGTATGGACAGAAATCATTTAACAGGGCATTGACACTGATCATATTGTTAAGTAAGAATATGAATGTAAAATTACAATTTTATTGAAAATAATAACCACAGAATATTCCTGAAAGCATAAGAAAAGGGCAATTCTACTTAGTATTTCGCAGTAACTGGCATGAAAATAGTAAAATCATGTGCATACTCAACAAAACTAATTTCATCAGAATGAGTGAAGTCGTTTAAGAAGAAATCAAGTAGAAAAAGTAGAAAAAATGCAGCCTAAGGAACACCGTCTGGAGTAAGTAAGAACAACAGAAAACCTCCTATTATATTCAGTGTACCGCTTCCTATCAGAAAAGTTAGAATGCGACCACTTATTAATCCTGCACTGTGCTTGTGCCGCAGTAAGCTTGTTTAACACAAGAAGCCTAGGTACAGAGTCAAAGTAATCTAGGAAGGCACATCGAATATACTGGACACCTCTGTTTAAACTATAGACAATATTACGATATAAGACTACAATAGTATCTAAAGTACACCTAATATTTTTTTAAGAAAATGGTTTTGGGTAGTTGAAAGCCTTCAATGAAGGTTCAAGGTTTATGAACAGCAATTTCCCCATTCTCTTCAAGAATGGTGAGGTAATAGCAAAGGGTCTAAGCTTAACGCCTAAGCCTCGTTATGATTTAGATACTGGAACATAAGGCTTAAATAGCACATTTCCATTTCATTATTTTGTCTTCTGTCATCCTTAGCTGGACCAATAACTGCCCATAGATTTTCATTTCCTCCTCATGCCATCTCCTCCCTGTCTCTCTCAAGCATCCATCTCGTCGTTTGCAATTCAGGTTGTACTGAGAGGCTCGTTTGGGGCTCGATGTCACTCAGTGTTCCCCTCAGGTTGTATCCTATCTACCTATATCTACTTCAGTACATTGTTGTTGTCATTCGATCACTTTACATGGTGAAGAGATTCAAATCAAATCGTAGCAGTATTCTCAGCTATATGCCAATTAATTTAAGTGTTGGTTTGCAGGGATTTGATGTGTTACAGAATTTTATCATGGAATGACATCGGTTAGAGGACCATTGGAAAACTTAGGGGTACTGAGGATAGCTGCTACTTTCTAGTTTGAGATTCTTAAGAAGTACGCAGAACGGGCCCAGGACCTTGCAGTTAAAAGACGAGCTCATAGAGAAATCAGCCATTGGGACCTGATCCAATGATCCATGGATTCCATCCATACGCCAGTTCACGACATAGCGCGAGCGCTAGCCAGTGTCATCGGCGAGTATTTGTTCCCAAACAAGAGATTTACAAACCCAAATTCTGGTCGCAGGAAAACGGTTTATCGAAGCATTTTATGAAACTTCATCTGTAAGAAATGTAATATTTTACTAAGAAAATAAGAAGTGGCATAAATGAATGCAGTTTATGGTGAATATTTCTGAAATTTTGTATAATTATATGAATAAAAAAGTTGCTATATTACGTCTAACTTACAATAATAGTTTCTGTAACAAGTGCAGGGAATGTCTTCGTATATGTCCCAGCTGCACTAACCCACCTACGTGTTATTTCTCTCACTGTTGTATTACTTTCATGAAAAGGAGAGAATACATACGTGAAAGTGATTATTGATAACAAAACTCAGATGGATTTGTTTAAAATGTGCAGCATTTTGCATTTTATTATCTTAGACAAAAAGTCTATTCGGTTGTTTTCGGGCTTCAGTTGTCAGCTGAAAGTTAGAGAACAGAAAACAGGCAGTGGCAGTCTGATCGTTATAGTTGAATTCAAGATTGCGATTTCAATTCTTGTATACAGTGAAGGTATATGTGGTTCTGTGGTAGAAGGCTAGCCAACCGCTCAGGTAGTTCTGGTCCGATTCCCGGCTGACACATACCTAAACCTTGCCTAGTCGGTAATGGGCCTGGAACACAATAGAGGGTTGGACGCAAGGCTAGCAGCCTTACTTTTTACAAAACAACAATGTTGCTGCTAAAATTTTGAAGCTTCAAGCCTTGATGCAAGAAGAGAAGTAAGAATGTAGTGAAAAAATAAAGTGGCCAATAGAAACCGAACTATTCTCGGTAATAATACAAGTACTAGTACAATAATGGAAGAAAAAGAGGGCCATGTTTTCACAGCCTTATATGATTCATCATGACCACTCTTAGAATTTGAATCTGTGCTTGTTGACGGTACAGAAGATTTTGAATTTCGAATGTCCAATTTACGCCAATTAGTGAACATGAATATCAGGAGAAATCGAAATGCCTAATACACATTCAGAATGACAAATGAGCTTAACGTTGATGTTTTCACTAGCCTACTGGTGATTAGTCAACGGTTTTCCGCTGCTGTAGCCAGTCTCATCAGGAATGTACCTAGAATGTCTTAATACTGCATACTGTCAAGTCAGTATGCATCATATATCACTTCTAGCTAACTGCTTTGGTCAATTGGCAGGGCATAGAGTACAGTTCGCTATTTGCAAATAACATACATGCAGTTTACCTATTAACTGATTTTAAAATTTACCTTGGCTGGTATACTCCATATTGATCCCTGATTGTTGGTATTTTCGTGAGTGGATCTCTCTGGGTTCTAGGACTTCCATCAGGTGCACGCATGAATGCAAAGTTTATTCGTGCAAATCCCTTATAATATTTCACAGAACAGGAACAATAGAAAATAAAAACAAGGAAAAGCTTGTCTGATGATGTAAACACACTTTTATATTAATGATCAAATTGAATAAAAATGTCATTAGTACATTTTTGAACATTTCTGACTATGTAATATTCAAATAGAAATTAAATAAAAATCATGAAGTTAACTGTAAACGATAGTGCGTCCATCTGGGGTTGTAATGTGGTGAGTGGTTATTGAAAACTCACTGGGAATCAAGATGAAACTTGTGTGAATCTTACTGCAACTTAAATTTTTATTTCTCACTGGATCATCACCCATTATTACTGAAGTAGTAGTCTGTCAGTCAAATAATCCATTAGGTATTCTCAGCATCAGCTGCATTTTCTTTGACGAAACTCATACTCAAAATATGTGTAAGACTTGAGCACTGTGATAGTTAGAGGATTTCATCATGAGCTGACATCGGTAAGATAACCATTGGAAAACCTTGGAGCACTGGACAGTTCTTTCTTCAGCCTAGTTTGGAACTAGCCCTTCAGCAGTACGCGCCAACCCTCAGGGTTCCAACTGAGGACCTTCTGATTACAAGGCGAGCCAGCTAGTAGACCACTAAGCCACTGGGACCCGATCCAATGACCGGATCTGATGCTCACTAGCGACTGGCCTTATTCAGGTAGGTAGTTATCTGATGTTCTTGTGAGAAGCTGTGACAAGTAGGGTATAGCAGGTTGAGGGTGAGGCAGTAACTCATCGAAGAAGGCATTGTGAAGTGGTTGCGCTCTGTCAAGAACTTGTAAGTGTTGGAATTCATGAGATGGCCATTGGACTGGGTCCCATTGGCTTAATGGTTTACTAGATCGCCGGCTTCGTAACCAGAAGTTCTTGGTTTCGAAATTCCTGTGGTGGGTGTGTACTGGTGAAGAGCTCCTAACGGGGCTGACAAAACAGCAGTCCAATAGTCGCTCCAACTGATTTCAGCTCATGATAAATTCCTCCAACCAATCAAACAAAATCCTTACAAAACGAATACTTTAAAATTCGACAATAATTTATTTATTCGATATAGCACACAGTGAAACAGTATTATTTAATGGATGACGTTTGAAAACATTCTATTGTTCGAAATGCCATCCGGCAAATAATGCTGTTTCACAGTGTGTTATCTAAATTCATATTTAAACGTTTCACCTGCAGCTCATAACGAGTTAATTTAAAACGAATGATTGCATGAATCAGTTTTCTCTGTTTCCAAAAGGGTTATCAGTTTTAAGTTCATAGCGTCATAGCATATCAGTCAAATGATTAATTTTGTATAGTACTCAAGATCGACTGGGAACACAGAAAACTATACGAAAATGAAGCTTTGCTTTTATGTTGACGGATGCTTATAAATCCTCACCGAGTTTACGTTTCATTTTTCTTTTATTTATTTTATTCTTTTTTGTTCCGCGGCAGGAAACAGGACTTCAAGCGTCAGCTCTAAAGTTCCAGTAACAGTAATGTTTGTTTTTTACGGGATGGTGGGGGGGAGTTGCTAGTCTTATGCTCAGTTTTTCCTCTCTACAAGTTCATTACCAGATAAGCGAGATCCGGCTATCAAATTCCAAACCACATGTTGGGTTGGCAAGTATTCTGCCATCGGACGTACGATATTTAATTTCATTCACAACCAATACAATCAGATCGGCAGAGGTCAAGAGCAGTCTGAGAGTAACCTAATTTGACTATATAAGATCAGTGTGCAAAATCATCCTCCGTTACCTCTGACTGATACCATCATTTGATATGACAGTGTCAATAATTTACTAAATGCCAAAGTATAGATATCTATTTCAAACAATTATACTTTCTACTATCCTCAGGTTAAGAGTAAAAGTTCAACTTGATGAACTTCTTGAATATTTCTAGACTACTTTTTTCATTTAAATCATTATCCTAGGTCGAATTTTAATATACATCCTCACGTAATACACATGCACGTTAAATTTTTAAAAAAAGTTCGAAACATACGAGGGCATGAGCAATCTCATGTCTGGCTGTATCATACAAAGTCCTTGACTGAGGATATTCCAGCACAGTTTTTGCAGGACAGAAGTTTACATAGCCTGCAACCGGTCTGAAATGTACAAAAAGAATTAACAAAATGAATACATTAAAAAGACTTTTATGCACACACACACACACTTCAAAATGATAAGTGATTCATAAATGTAATAAGCCTGTATGAAAGTGACATTATTCCAATGCTGATAGGAAATGTTATTAATTTCGGTATAAAATACTCATTATAAGGAAAACACTTTTCGGGTTTAACCACACTCTTACCTATCTGTTTTCGGATCCATTTGACATGAGCTAGCGTAGGCATTGGTACTTGGATCAAGACAGCTTCCTGTATTCTGACTGTCGACAAACAGCAAATAACCATCTGCTTGTAATCCTGAACCCTTCGGGTAAACTGTCGTCAATTCGTTTCTATGATCCATTTTCAGACAATCCTTTAAAGACAGTAACATAAAATATTCGGTAGCGTCATGGAATTATTTTTTTGAATATAACTCACAGCCTAGACTTCATGCATAGATCTTCTCCTTTCGGTCGGTTGTCAAGTCAAAATTTAAGTTAGGGAACTATCCACTTTCTCAGTGAGAGAAGATTATGCTCAGTTCTCTTATTACTCAGTACTCAGCTTGAATGTATAATTTTTCGTCGAAATGCACAACAGTAGGTGAAATTGAGCTTCGTAGATGTCATCTAGATAAACCTTAACTATGCTGGACTGCTTTAAATCTCGTATAAAGGAAAATATTTTTCGAATTTTTAACGGTGACTGCCTTTAACAAGAGAAGTATGAATAAAAGATGGGTGGGGTACGATCTTTTTACTTCTATTCTGCTAGATTTTGTATTTTTATTTTATTCCTCTTAGTTTTCAGTGGAAAATAAGGCTTCATACTAGAGCTTTGAAGTTTCGGTAGCGGTAGTATTCATTTGTATGTGATGCGGGTGCTATCTTCATGCCCAATCTTGCCTCTTTGCTAGTCTCAGTATTAGCTTAGCGAGGTTTTGGAGTTCGTCGGTCGAGAATCGAATCCGGGACCACATACCGCGTGGTTGGCGAGCATTCTACTACATGTCGAAATTGTATTCAGTTTAAAAGGAAGCATATTGTGCGTTGGTAACACAGCGGTTAGGACTCTCGCCGACCATGCATATGATCTGGTGTTTGATCCCCTGACGACACACACCTGATATCTATAGTTGGCCTTCAAAACTTCGGCTACCGATATCATATGCTGAAAATTCCATACTTGTACCAAAAATACTGTGTGGTTTCCAGTTATAATCGAAAAATATCCCATTAATCAAGTCAGTCAATAGGATCAGAAAGTTTGCGCATTTATATCGATTATTCATTGTATAAATAACTCACAGACAAATATTGAGATGGTATATTAATGTCACCGCATTTTTCACTTGCACTGCACTGTGTTTGCGTGCAAAACTTTGTACCATTTTCAAACTGATTATACATGCCACCTTCACAGTACCTAAAGAATTATGATGTAGGCTGGTGAATTTACAAAATGGCTTTAAATAGAATTATATATATAGTACAACCTATACAGCTTAACTATCCTGCTACTAAGTCGTAATTCTGTAGTGTTTCCCATAGACGCCTATGCAGTAACATAGTCTATGAATTTTGAATAGAGTACAAATGTTTTGGGTGGCATACAATTAATAATTACTTTTAAACTATTCTTTAACTCAATATAACTTCATTATGAAATGTCATATTCGCCTGAGTGACAGGATTTACATATATGTAATACTGTATGTACACACTGATTGATTCTTTTGTGTTTAAAAATGAACTCTGTGCAAATATGTTAAAATTGTTTCTGTAGATATGCTTAATAATGACTTTAGCCTGCAAGCAGCTCAGGAGACGCCAACAAAATACATAATGATGGTACCATTTTATTCTGAATAAACCTTTGTTGTTCTTGCTTTATTCAAATAATCTGCAACTGTTGTTGTATCGAGATTAGATTGTAGTATGGCTTCAGTATCAAACACCGTCCACGTTTAGTATCTGATGCATCCTGCGAAAAAGAAGCTACTGAAACTCACGACTTCTCAATACATAATTCCATGAGGATTTTTAGAAAAGAAACCAAACATCAGAAATCACAATAAAATCACTTACCTTTGAACATGAATTCTGCCACTTGAAGTGTTTTTAACTGTTAGAGCATTCTCCCAGAAATTAATAGCACGTTGAACTATTGTTGTCTAGGGAATAAATGCATTTACATAATTGAATTGACAGTTTGTAACAGAATATCAGAAATAGCGTCATCAGCTTCTTTAAAGGGCGGCGTGAGTGTGGGGGGGGGGCGTGGCGGTTCATTCATGTCTGTTAATTATTCGACCAATGGCTTTCAAGTGAACCAAATGAATCAGTGAATTAAAATCTCACTGTTACATAGAATAGTCTTCAAATCCTACATTGTGACATTCATCTTCTCTTACTTACTTACTTACTTAGAGGCAAAACATTCTGGTCTGGTCATAGAATATGAAAATTTTATCAAGATATATGTAGACTTTACATGCATGTGGTCAATAAACTTTTCACATAGTTTAATGCATAAGAAGACATCCTTCATAACACTTAAATTCATTTCACTAACGCTATGACTGACATAGATAAAATGACAATTAGTTATTTCATTTAGTAATGTAACGTTTAATGACAGTTGGGAATGTCCAGAAGTGTGAAGAAATACTCTTCACCGTAAAGGACAGTGAATACTGGAGAGCAGATGCTCTGTGTATAACACAACTCGTATTGCACATCTCCAAGATGCTCTGTCTTGCATTCTACCAAAACCTGTTTTGTATGTTGTATTGAGAATCACGTAATTCTGGGAATCATTTTTTTAAAAATGAAACATGATTAATTTACTCGCATACTTTATGATTATAATCTGATTTCATTTTTTGTTGTTTAAATATAATCATGATTTCATAATTTCAAATGAGTGAAACTCACCTTTATTGTCCCGCTATTTCTCAGTCGATCAAAATTTGGTGTGTATACTACAGTGAATTTGAGTGGCGCAGAATATGAACGCTTGTCCACAGGATATGATTCGTCTCTCACAGCATATTTCTATTTGTGATGAATGCAAAAAATAGGTATGAAGTAAAAGTGTGAAAAATTACCATCTCATAATGTGGTGAAGGTCCACAGGCGCTATCATAGCCTTGTAAGAAGTACAAGGATATCAGAGAGAAGGATAGAAAGATGGTGTACATGATGTTGATATGATGTTGCATACAAGCGTATCATGCGTTTATATACCATTTTGACAGCAGAAGCAGTTTCTATAATCTCAGCCGTTTGTTTTCTTTTTAACCATGAAATCAAAAGTACATCTCATTAACGGAACAAACACAGCAGCAGCAACAACAACAAAAGAGGATGTTTATTACATGAATTGGAACCCTTCTGATTCATTTTGAATTGAAATTTTGTAACAAAGTACAAGGGAGTAACGAGGTGAAAAGAAATTGGTTCAGCACAGCTTGAAAAGGAAAAACACAAACAAAAGTTTCCAAAATAAGACGGAAATCAAGATCACGCAAATCTCAGCTAAACTAAATATTCTCAGATTTCTTAAGAATTAAATGAACATGTGTATATGGTAGTCTAATTAACTAACTAACTAACTAACTAACTGACTAACTAATTTCAGACATTTCGTTTCCATACAACCATATTCATCATCCTGCCAGTTTTGTGAAACTAATTCATTCTTAAGATAAATTGTACAGAAGTCAGGCTGAGTTGATAGTTCTAGGTGTCATCAAACTGGGAACTCACAATTCTTATTAAGTTGTCTAAATTACTAAATTATCTCTTGAATATCAATGAGGTGCTCACTAGCGACTGGCCCTATTCAGCTAGGCAGTTCCCTGGGGTTCTATTTGGAAGTCGTGACCGGTAGGATAAAATAGGTTCTAGTATGAGGGTAAATACTAGCCGAAGACATTGGCTAGCGATCGCGTTATGTCATGAATTGGCAGAAGTTGGAATTCATGGGCCACTATATCGGATCTCAATGGCTGAATGGTCTACGAGCTAGCTCGCCTTGTAACCAGAAGACCTTGGGTTCGAACTCTGAGGGTGGATGCGTATTCCTGTTGGGTTAGTCCCAAACTAGGCTGACGAAGCATCTGTCGAATACCCCCTGGTGGCTTTTCCAATGGTTCTCTAACCGAAGTCAGTTCATGATGAAATCCTGTAACCAAATATTTAACACATTTTAATATATCCCATGTAAATAAGTGAAAGTCTCATAATGACTGGACCTAATGAGGTAGTTTTGACACCATTACTGTCAATAGACACGACTACATAGGACATTTCAACTTTCACAAAATCAGTAATCGTGAGGATTTGTGTGAACCTACGAAAAGTTATTTTGTTAAGATATCAAAGATACACCAGAAAAGGGAAACCCACTTAAGAGGCCTATATCCGACGTTAGAGAACATTGTGGAAATCACATAACCAGTCTATATGGCTTACTGAAGATCCTTGGACTGGCTGTCCCTCTGCATTCTGTTCTTCACTTGTAAAATTAACTGTATTATCTAACTAAATGAAAGTGGCCTAACTGGAAAGTATACACTGGTAGTTAGTCAAACATACAAGCAAAGGTGAGTTTACATTTGTCAACATCAATTTGTGTATAAACCTTTATGTTCCGCGTGGAACCCAGGGCTTCAAGCTATAGGCTTGAAGATTCAGTAGCATTGGATAGGGTTGCTAGCCTCATACTCAGCCTTTCTGTTTTACTAGTCTCATTACTGGCTCAGCGAGGTTTGGGAGTGTGCTGGCCAGGAGTCAAACACCAAACCCCAAGCAGCTTGGTTAGCGCGGATTCTACCACTGTGCCATCAAAGCGCAAAACCGCTTCAGCACCGGAAGTTGAACCCGGGACACCTCACTGCTAGATATTAATAGGTAAAACATTCCTTTTTTGGATATCATGTCATTTTTCATGAATGCCTTTCGTGTAAAAAAAAATTGACCACATATACGTGATCTAACTGCGGGACGAAAAATCGATATTGCAGATGTAAATCTCCGAAAGTTCAACAGCTTTTGCACAAGTGTACACTAAATGACCAGTTTATGCTTAACAAAGAATTTTATCAGAAAATGAATACGGCTTAGACGATTTTCCTTCTTAATCTCTTATTGGCTGACATTTTCTCTTGGCGAAATTGGAACAATGGCCTCTTGAGAAAGATGCCAATTAAACTTAAATATTACTGGGTTTATATGAATAATACATTTAATTTTTGTGGTGAAAATTTGATGGAGAACTTATGCAAGTCTTTACACAGGCACTAGATTCACTTGCGAAGAATAATATCATGAAAGCATCCCATTTCTGGATACTTTT